GAACCACGTATGAAATTTCGAGACAAAAACAAATCTTTTCAGAGAATGTATAGGCTTGATTTAGCCTGTGCCACAGAACTCAGGGGCCATGTGACCATTCTCTTCTATCATTGGCAATCCACTGGGAGATTAGAAGACCATTACCTAACCACACGTAGAAAATGGATAGGGGAGAGACAAAGGAGGAAGAAGTATCAGGGTGTATGAGAAGAATGAAAAAAGATGGTGGTGGTAGGGGTCTACTCCCATGGTAGGAATACCAAAGACCCAAGGCTGGTTAGATTAAAGTCATAGAATCATAGCACATTTGAACTAGAAAGCTTTAGTTAGTCAGTTTTTAGATGTGTAAATGGTACTATGTTTTGATTTGTACATTATTTTCACATATTCAACTAGAGGTACAGTCCCTCAAGGAGGACTGGGATTTTTATAGTTGGGATACAAAGAGAATTAAGAAGTCAATGTTAAAATTTTGACAACCAGAATTCACTCTCAATGCCCATTTCAGGAATAGTAGTTGGGAAAGCCACACATTGAATTGCAAGAGCCAGATACTTGAGAGAAAAAATAGCATATTTTTCAAATTTCAACAGCTTTTCTTTAAATATTTAGTAACAGAGCTTGGAGGACCAAGCATAAATTTTTTACTATAAACCAAAAAGCTAGAAGAATGTAGGATATGACAAATTCAATTTCCTGCCACACAGGAAGGCAATTTTAAACTTTCTGAAGTGGAAAGAAGAGCTTGTGGGGAGAGGAGAGGAGAGAGCAAGAAAAGGCAAATGACCCTGGGAGAAGGTGAGCATTGGACACTCCCTAGGCAGGTTTGAGGGTGAGAGGAGTGAGGAAATGTCTATGCCATATCCTGACTGAAACTCTATGAGGATGGAGCTCGTTAAACACCCTGAGCCTATGCAATAAGATAATTAAATTAACATTTAAAATTTTGTGTGATCTTTCAGCCCTGAATTCTATGATGATAAATCTTCCTATGCAGATTGGATGCATATTTTGGAAATCTAGATTACTGGCTTTACTGAAATTTTTTTGAGTTTCTTCTGATTGTGAAATGTTTGTTAGATTATGGTTACAAGCACTTTAGAGAAGTGTGAGGTAGGGATGAGTATTCCTCTGCTCACAACCCCTTTTTCTACTGTGGGCTGAGGGTGGGTCGTCAGCTTTCGCAGATGACTTCTGTGAACTTCTGTGAGAACTCTGACAGCATGAGCCTTTGGGTTTCCTTCTTCGTGCTGAGAAAGTAACTAGGAAGAAAAACCAGTGACCAATGGAAGACAATCCCAAAGGGGAGACCCATATGAACTGCTGGTCATTGCCTCATCTTATACTTCATTTTTAAAAAGGGTCTTATTGCAATATAATTCACATACCATACAATTCACCCAAAGGGTACAATTCAATGCTTTTTAGTATATTCATAGATGTGCAGTTATCACTTCAGAATGTTTTCATAACACCCAGAGGGAGCCCTGTAATGCTTTAGCTATAATTTTTTTCCTCTCTTTGACCCACCTCCCCCAACCCTAGGCAACTAATAATCTACTTTATTTATTTAAATTGAATTATATTTATTTATTTATTTATTTTATTTTTTTATTTTTTAGAAACAGGGTCTTCCTCTGTTGCCCAGGCTGGAGTGCAGTGGTGCAATCACAGCTCCCTGTAGCTTCAAACTCCTGGACTCAAGTGAGTCTCTTGCCTCAGTCTCCTGAGCAGCTGGGACTCCAGGTCCATGCCCAGCTAATTTTTAAAAATATTATAGAGATGGGGTCTTGTTATATTGCCCAGGCTAGCCTCAGGCTCCTTGGCTCAAGCAATCCTTTCACATTGGCATCTCAAAGCACTGGGATTATAGGCATGAGCCATTATGCCTGGCCTACTTTCTGTCTCTATAGATTTTTTCTGTTCTGGACAATTTATATTTAGGAATCATACCATGTATACCCTTTTGTGACTGGATTCTTTCACTTAGCATAATATTTCAATGTTGTAGCATCCAACAGAACTTTATTCCTTTTTATGAACAAATAATATTCCGTTGTATAAATATGGCACATTTTGTTTATCCATTTATCAGATATGAACATTTGGATTGTTTCCTCCTATACTACATTTTGTGTGTCCCCTAGTGTCTGGGGTTTACTACTAAGCTCCTAACAACGATCTACTTCCCTTTTCTGAAAACATAGGTGGACTAAGAAACCCTGTTCCCTCTGGAATTCAGACAAATCAAATTATATATGTGTTGAGTGACACTTGCGGTGATGCCAAACAGAGAGACTTAGAGAGTACCTTGTAGTGGTTTGTAATGATGGTGATCCAGGCAGAACCTGAGAGGTTCAGAGTCTTACATTCCCTCAGAGGTGATCAGGCTTAGGAGGCCTGACTCACATCAAACTCAACTGAAACCCCAACCTAAAGCCAAACCACTTTATAAACCAGGACGCTAATTTATGATTTTACAATATTTCCAAACAGACCTGGAGGCCAGAGTTGGCTGATTTACATATGACCTTCCTGTAGGAAAGAGTACAGGAGATGTCAGGTTACTATCAGATAGTTGCCTCGCAGTGCAGGCATAGGGGACTGGATAAATTTAAATAATTGACATTTAAGCCATAACATTTGAACATGCTTCCATATATGCCTGATAAGCTTTCTTCTGGTCATGACACTGCTTCTCAATAGTACTGGGTAAACACTGACCACCTCTTGCCATTTTCACCATCTCCTTCTTCTCATTCCAAGTTGAACACTAGCCTTTTATGTAGGCTGAAATTTTAGAACGCAATTATTTAGAACAGTAATATCCAAAAACATTTTGGGGAGTGCTAATCCCATATATATTTATTTATGAATTATATACATGCACTAAAATTTATTTGTATATTAATTTATATGTTAAATATTTTTCCAAAAGTCAACAAATGATGGATATTTCTACAAATAAATAAAAAAACAAATTGTCTTGTCCTCCCCATTTAAGGATCCCTGTGTTGCATTTTGTTGTTGTTGTTGTTCTTGCATTAAATCCATCTCAAGTCTACAGTTATATTTTAACCATCTGATCTTTTGGTTGGGTTTACTTTCATTTGTACCAGCCTTAGAAGCCTATCTTTTAAGGGAGGTTATTTAGAAGAGAGCAGAAAGGCTATCTCATCTGTTTTATATTGATTCCGTTAGTCTCCATTTTAGCTGAGGTGACATTTTTTGTTTACCTCCCAAGATTCCAGAGAGAAGCCCTCTGCAGCCTTCTAAGCACTGACTGAAACCTTGCATGAGAGTTATGTTATGGACTTAGGCTTCTCTGAGAAGAGAAATGGTAGGAGATGAGTGTCTGGAGTGGGCAGGGAGAGTTACTCCTAGCCTAGCAGAAATGTGCGTTAGTGGTACCAAGATGGTGAAATTGGGGGTAGTAAAAGAACATGGGAATTGGCAAGAATGATTGAGAGCCAATGCTCATTAGCAGTTAGCCTGTTGGAAGTAGGCACTGTGTTCTGCCTTTGAACTACACACAGTAATGTATCGATTGGACTGTGGAGATACTCAGAGAAATTGAAGTGAGACTGGATCCCCTAGAGCACAGAACATGACGATTCCAGAAAATTATCTGGTGGCAAATAAGAGACATCATAATTGAGAGATACCAGTAAATTAGAATTTGGGTTCTCTGGAGGGAAGAGTTTTGGCTTAAAAAAAGAATGAGTTGGGTTTCAGATGAAAAGGAACCTGCTTCCTGGGAGGTCAATGTTGCTAAATGAGAGAATTCTATCCTTGAACTGTCAGTGGTTTTTAAAGTTGCAAATTGGAATAACCTGGGAAGCCATAAAAATGCTGGTGCCTGAGTCTCACTTCTAGACTTTCTGATTTCATTCATTTGAGATGAGGTTTGGCCATTGAGATTTAAAAAAACCACAGACAGAAAACCTCCAGATAATTCTAATGTGCAGCCAAGGTTGGGAACCACTGCACTAGAGGGTGAAAGAATGGAGTGGCTTAAGGAAATTAGAGAAGGAAGCTTGGGGAGGAAGTGGAGGGGCCTGGAACAGCCTAAGCAATCCTAGAAGGCTGAACCTCAGAGGCTTTGTGACTTCATCCGCCTCACTCCCATAGACACTGTGGAGAAGGGATTCACAAGGAAAAGGAAACAGGAAAAGCCTGGGATTTCTATTGCATGTCAGGAAGGTGACCATGAAACTGAATCGTGCAGCCTTCTGTTTAGGAGCTGACCTCCATCTTGGTTACAACAGCAGCTGTTACTCAATAACTCCCTCAAAAGTCCAGTGCTGGAAGCAGCAAAAGTGCTCTGTAATTGGTGTCTCTCATTGGATCCTTTGCCTTCTCTCCCTTCCCTGCACCAAGCTCCCCACCCCCACCCTTGCCTCTCTATACAGGGAGCCCTCCAGCCCAACCATGGGTTCCCCTTCAATTCTACCACTCTCCAGGCATGAGAAGGAAGGGGAGGGAATGACTTCCTTTGGCCTAGAAATATCTGGGAGAACCTCCTATATGGTCCTTGAGCAGACACAAAAAGAGAATATTCTGGAGCTGCATTTTCCAAAGTGTGTTTCTTAGATGCTGGATCCTCAAGGTGTTTTCCCTGTACCCACGCAAGCTTGGGAAATGCAGCAGGCTTCTGCGCCCTCGTTGAGATTCACACCACCTGTGAGTAGAGTAAATGCTTTGAGATCTGAAGAAAGAAACCTGTTTGTTTTTCTTTAACCCTCACATCCCCAACTCATCTGGCCATGGAATTGTTTTTTTCTGCTTAGCACATTAACATCTTGCCTCTTTCTCATGACACACTTTTGGGAAACTGCCTCAGAAGCTACAATCAGTGGCTTCATTCACAAAGGACAAAGAAGGCAGCTGCATCCTGCACACATGAAACGGGGCAAGAACCCCAGTTAGGCCCTGGCCTCTCTTGGTAATTGTGCCCTTTTTCCACCCCCTCTGTAGCCCCCCTCCCGTTGCCATGGCAACGCCCCAGCGAGTAAGGACTAGGTCTTCTATTTCTTTCCTGCATCCCTCCTCCTCACCCTGCTCTGTGTCTAGAAGAGAGCTGAACACGCAGTAGGTAATGTTTGGAAAATTTGATTGATTGAGGGTTTGGGGGGTTTCATTTGGACCATCTGCAGGTGGGCTGGGTAGCAGGAGAAGGCCTCCCACAGTTTGCTTCTATGTATCTGGGTAGAGGAGTCGGAAAAGACGGTGGGAGAGTGCAGGTCTGGGAGCTCACACAGCTTTGGCACTGCCTGTTTTGTTTCTGTTTGTGTTTAATGCTACAATCATAAATATTTCACAAATTAGGAATGGTGAAGGGCATGACAAAAAAGAAAACATTTTGATTTCTTGGTATGTCAGGGTTCAGGGTTAAATTTTTCTTTCCATAAAATGTCTGGTCATGTTGCTTGTTATAATGTTGTTTTTGTAAAAAATGATTTCCTTTTAAGTTGGAGGGAAAAAAAGAATGTCTTACTTTTGCCTGTATCTTTAAATGGTGACCATATGTTCAAAGCCCCAAGGCAAGACACAGAGCCTAATACACAGCCTTACAGGACATTTGAAATAGGGGGACTGCCAGGACAGAGTATTTGGAGTGGAGGTATCTGGCCTCCTAGCTGCTGCGCCCAATGCCTTAGGAGTAACATCATTTCTAAATTACAGATGCAGTGAGGCCAATTTGGATATCCATTGGGGAAACCTGGGGACAATATATGTTCTCAATTGATATCTGCTTATCTATCTATCTATCTATCTATCTATCTATCTATCTATCTATCATCTTCTATCTATCTATATTTCTCTATTTATTGCCAGAAAGTCAAGAGCAGCCTTCCCAGAGGACAAAACAACAATAAAACCTACAGAAATTCTCTCTAGAGTCTCAGTACATGCAAGACCCAGCTCTTTGCTGCCTGTGCGGCTGCCCAGCCCCAGCCTCAGCAATCTCTGAATGAAGGGTTTGTGGGCATCTGCATGATGCAAGCCATGTGCTGGGGAGCCTCACAGTGCGGATTCTGTCTTCTGGCTGGCTGAGAAGGCTTCCCGGGCTCTGAAAGTATCAATTCTTCAGGCCAGAGCGTTGGTGGAGGATTATCTTTTAAATCAGTTGGTTCTTATTTTCTTAAGTGTGAAAGAAGGAGGGTGGTCAGGAGTGTGTGTGCGTATGTGTGTGTGTGATGGGCCAACATTTGTATAGTATCTGCCATATGCTGAGAACTTTATGCAAATCTTGTATATAATTGCCATCTATCTATAGATATGTATGTATATATGGATGTGTATATATGTTTGTGGATATAGGTATATCTATAGATAGATAGCAATTTATATATGTTTTATGTATATCAGATATATAGCTATATATATTTCAGATATATATCTGAATGTATATCAATATATCTATACACATCAAGTTGTTTTATTTTTACAACACTCTTTTAACGCTGATAAACAGAAAAGAAAATGGGCTGGGCACAGTGGCTCATGTCTGTAATCCCAGCACTTTGGGAGGCCCAGGCAGGAGGATTACCGAAAGCCAGGAGTTTGAGACCAGCCTGGGCAAAATGGTGAGACCCCCATCTCTACAACCGTTTTATTTGTTAAAGAGAGAGAGAAAAGAGAATAGAGGCTGAAAGTGGGAAAACAGGCTTACCTTGGTAACACAGTGGGAGAGCAGCTGAGCCTTGTTCCCAGGTCAGGGCTGTCTGATCCAGAGAGTTCTCTCCATGTCACCATTTTCCCTACCATTTCAACCTTTAGAATATTGTGGACTAAGGCAAGAATGAGACTGAAAATATGGGCCAGGGATAGTGCAGCAATCCCAATGCCTGCCTGAAATTTCCAATTGAAAATTCTACTCTCCAGGTGCTGCGGCTCATACCTGTTGTCTTGACAGTGTGGGAGACAGAGGCAGAAGGATCAGTTGGGGTCAGGAGTTCCAACACCAGCCTGGGCAACAGCGAGACCCTGTCTCTACAAAAAAGAAAAAAGGAAAAACAAATCCTACCTTCCTTCCACACTACACTTCCTGTCCCTCCCTCCCTCCCTCCCTCCCTCCCTTCCTTCCTTTCTTCCTTCCTTCCTTCCTTCCTTCCTTTTTCCTGGGTCTTCCTCATAGCATAATCCTGGACCTGGACTCTCCTATCTTTCTCCACAATCACTTCCTAGATTATTTTACCCATTTCTAAGGCTCTACACACCATCTCTACAGTCTGATAACTTGGAAATTTTTATTTCTTGCAAAGATCTCTGTCTTCCGAACTTCAAATCTATATATCAAAGCATCTACTCAACATTTGCCCTTGGATGACTCATAGTCATTTACCCAAATATGGCCCAGATGGAACTTATGACCCATTCCTCCGCCTGCTTCTTTTGAGTTTCCTATCAGCAAATGAACTTCATGCCCCAAGTTTCTCACACCGGAAACCTTAGGGTTCTTCTTGATGGCAGCCTCCTTCTCATTCCCACATTCAGTGAGTCCCCAGATACTGTCTGCTTTACCTCCTAAATCTGTCCAGAACCTGTATTCTTTTTTTTTTTTTTTTTTTTAATGCAATGACTTATTTACTGGGCAACTAATGTGAGCTAGGTACAGCTTTGGTAAAGGTATTTGAACTGCCTAAAAGCCCAAGCAGGTATGGATGGTTTTCTCTATGAGAAAACAGAGGCTCAGAGAGGTCTGTTACTCTCCTAGCATCACATAGCTATTCTTTTAAGCCTCTTGTTCTTTTCAGCACATTTTGATATCTACCCTTGAAGGCCCTCCATAAAGAACTCAGGGTCCCAGGTTCTCAAGAAGGTCCTAGTAGTTCACAAAGACGTTTCTGGAAGCTTCTGGATTAGAAGTAAATGCCAGAGCTGTGCAGGAACTCTAAAAGGAGGGGACAGGAGGTGGGTGAACAATGGAGCCTGGAGAATCATCCAGGCAATTCTGACAGTAGTTATTCCATGAAAGAAGGAGAAAATCAGGCTCTGAAGATATTGCAAATATGGAGAATTACTAACATTGGCCTGGGCAACGATGGTTGTCACCCTGTAGAGCAAGACCTGGCAACTGACATGCTGGACAAGGTTCCTAGGAGGAAGAGTGGGGAAGGAAGTACCTCGACATTCCTTGGAATGCCTTCTGGTGTGCGAAGCCAGCTAGTCGACAAAAACTAGGGAGCCTGTGAGAGCTGTTTCCATTTTAATTGCCCTGTGTGGTGATAGTCACCCAATGTCTCTGTTTAAATATTTTTTTCTTATGCTTTGACAGTTTATAGCCTTTGTAGATCAATCCTTATATTTCATGCAGGGGAGAGAGACAGAGAGAAAAAAGCAAGGTTATTGATGACCTAAACTGGATTAACAGAACCTGTATTCTTATGCCCACATCATCAGCCTAGTCTAGGCCACTGTTATTTTTCACCTTGTCGAGTATAATAACCTCCTAACTAGCCTCTTAGCATTCATTTTTGCCCTCTTTCCAATATATTCAGCATACAGTAGTCAAAGTAATCCTTTAAAATATACATTTGATGATGTCAGGCCACTGTCTACAATCTTCTAGTGGCCTCTCATTGGATTTAGAATCAAGTCTAAAATTATTTCCATATTCTACAGGGGGATGATATTCAAAATATTTACTCCTCTATACAGCAGAAGCACAAACAAATTAGAACTGATGTTAATTTCAGCGCTGGAGCAAGATTTGGAGATGGGTGCCTGTGGTGCTGCTGTCACCTCTTTAATCCCAGGGAGTCCAGGGGGTTTCTGAGAAGGGCCACAGCAGCAGGGAGTGGGGAAGTGTCATCCTATTTGTTGTCAGCATTCAGTTTAGCAAACCGAATGTGTTGAAACACCCTAGGTATTTCAAACACAGGAGTAATCAGGAAATTTGTCACACAGATGCCTGGATATGAATAACTTCGGGAAGCAGCTACCATTCCTAGGACTGAAGCAATTAAAAGGGAAGAGGTGGGGCCAGAAAGTAGCAACTCAGAGAAAGGACTCCTGCCTGCTGGTCCTGGCACCTCAGGAAGGACATGGTGGGGCTGGTGATGGGTGTGACAAGAGTGGCGCAAGGCTGGAGGAGCTGACCTGTGTTGTGGGAGTGACAGGAACTGACATTTTTGCATGGTATACATCCAGCCCATTGTATATTAGCTGACTGGTAGCCTGCCTCCAAGGACGCCTTGGTCTGCCCGCTCCAGCCCCTTCTGTCTCCTTTTACTCCACACCCTCCCTTGCTCATTGTGCTCCAGTCACACTGGCTTCTTTTCATGTCCTTGGACAGGTGAAGCTCTTCCTGCCTCCAGTCTGTTACTCTCATTGTATACTCTGTCTTCTGGTTATCTATTGCTGTGTAAATGACCACCCCAAACTTAGTGTTGGAAAACAACTGTAATCATTTATTTTGTTCACACAGCTGCAATTTGCAGGCATTGGAGAGAAGGCTCGTCTGCTCCATGCAGCATCACCTAGGGTGGTTTGACTAAGGGTCGCAGCATCCCCCCAAGGTGGTTCCCTCATGTGGCTGAAAATCTGCTGCTGTCAACTCAGCCACGGCTGAGGCCTGGGGTCTCAGTTCATCCCCACAGAGGCCTCTCCATGTGGCTGGGTTCCAAGGGTGAGCTTCTAAGACAGGAGGCTGATTGGAAGCTGCATCACCTTTTATGACTTACCTCCAAAGTTATATGACATCATTTCAGATATGCTTTCTTGGTTAAAGCAGTCACAAAGACCTGTCCAGGGACAGAAGGAGAGGACGTGGACTCTAACACTTGATGGAGGAGGGACAGGTTCCAGAAGGGCATGTGGGGCAGACATATGGTAGTGACTAGTTTTGGAAATACAATCTGCCACTCCATTTTAAACTAGTCATTTCTGAGAATCTAGTTTAAATTTCATGCATTTCCCTAGGTTAGTTACCCCAGACACAAATACAATCAAGGCATTCCTCTCCTCCTTTGTGGCTCTTATCATAATTTCACACTATACAGTAATCTATGTAGCATTTTTGTTTATCATCTTTTGTTTCTTGTTTGTCTTTACTGTAGACTGGAAGCTTCTGAATCTAAAACCATGTCT